TTGCAGCCCTAACTGCAACATTTTTCATTTAAAATATGTATAACATTTGCACTCCCAAAACAATGGACTTTATTTTGCGTAAAAATAGAGTTTAAAAGTGATAAATTTGAGAAACCTCGCGTGCTATACGCGATTTTGTAGTCGTATCAGTTTTACAATCAACGCTTCGTGCCAGCATAAAATCAATAGAGCTGAAAATTTTTAGTAAAACAAGGAATTTAGTCATATCCACTCACTTTCGTACGTTTTGTTGCGGATAAATTTATTTTCTTAGGATACACTGAAGCGGGCAACTTCACTTAATACTTCTAACTTATCGCAGGTGCAAGTACGAGTACATCAAGTCGTAATACATCAAATATGAGTAGGAATGTGAAAGAACAGAAAGGGCGATAAAAGATAACGGGTTCTTTTGAAGAAAGAGCGTCAATGAAAATACTGCAATGGAAGAACTCTAATTAAAGAGAACGTCAATTTCGGCGTTCACAGGTTCAGCCGCCTGCATGCGATGTCTGGAAAGTGTAAACAATTTACACGTATTTATAATAGAACATTGAACATGAATAATTATTATGTTACGCATTCCGTTTGGAAGAAAGTAATATCTGTGAGTTGCCCTGTTGTTTGTTCAGGTTCATTTTCAAATGCTATAAATTGCATTTAAGTTCTCAAATTAAAAAAACAGTGACTTAATTCAACTAATACTATCTATGAAGAAGGTAAATTCTCTTTAGGTTTTTCCAATTGAACTATGTATTTTTAAAATTTAATATCACCGTATTTTACATCTCCGTATTCACTTCAGGCTCCTTTCCTAAACTTTCGCGTTCATGCCACTTTCTTTTCATTCATTGATTTACTTGCTTCACTTCACGCATTTTATATAAACGAACTCAAGCTAAAAGTTCTAACTAGAATCTTTATAAAATTTTTGAATCACTATGCATTAAATAAATTAATAATTATATAAAAAATAAGTCTATTTTGAAAATAAAAATCAAGAAGGAAGTGCCGGCACCAACATTTTATTTTTCCAGTTAGGCAGGAAAAATTTCCTCGACCGCAGCGTCCCTGAGCGCCTCCCTTGAGACTTGTTAGGACGCAACTCTGCTGCCACCCGTCCTGGTGGCAGTCTGTTCAGGTGGCATCAGTTCAGGTGCTGTCTCTTATACACATCTAGATGTGTATAAGAGACAGCTGTTATAGAACCATTATATAATCACTACGGAACTTATTTATAACAGTTATATCCG